AGAAGCCAGCCTTGGTCGAGCCTATGCTGTCTGTTCTGTAGGGGTTCAGAACAAGCAGCCACTGTGTGTGATTCAGCGGCTTATTTTGACCTGAACACTTGCCGGGTCCAGAAGGCTCAGGAAGAACCTTGAACCTTCCCCGTAAGCGCCTAAAAGACTTGAGGATAGCCATAGCCGCTTTGGCTCAGTGGATAGAGTGTCAGCCTGTGGACTCAAAGGTCTTGGGTTCAATTCAGTCCAGGGCACATACCCCAGTTTGCAGGCTTGATCCCCAATAGGGGGCGTGAAGGAGGAAGCCAATCAATGATTCTCTTATGATTGATGCTTCTCTCTCTCTCCCCCTCCCTCTTTCCCTCCCTTTCTCTCCCCCTCTCTCCCCCCACTTCCTCTCTGAAATCAATAAAAATATATTTTAAAAAAAAGAAAGAAAAAAGAATTGACGATAGAGGACCTGCCCCAGGAAGGGAGCTATCATCCTGGAGAACTAGAATTATCTGGGGCGAACTGGAGACCCAGGCAAAGAGCAGGGTTTGGTCTTTCTTGTAACCTGCGTGCCTCTTGAAGCAAAACCACAGGCAGAGGAGTGTGTACAGGAAAGGTATGGGCTTGGTCTCTACCTCTGTTTCCTGGTACAGGTCCTCTAAAACCCTCTGAATACCTTGGCTAATGAGATGGCAGGTGTCCCAGGCCTCCGGGATAGCCTCAGGGTGGGAGCTGGTTACCAGGGAACTCAATCAGAGAATGGGCCAAAATCTAAAATCCAGCCTAAATCGCGGGCCGAATGGTTTACTGAACAGTCATAAACTGTCATTGTGATGGAAACGCAGCAGAGTGCAGTGATGACAGCGCGGTGAGGGCCACATTGCAAGGCCTGGAGGGACGGATTTGGCCCTCGGGCCTTGTGTTTGACACATGTGGATTAGAGGGTTGAACTTTCAGCCTGACCTCTGGAGAGGGATGTGGGGCTGGAGAGTGACCTGATCACTGTTGAATGTGCAACAATTGAGTCAATCCTGCCACTTTAAGGAAGCTTCCATCCTATCTGGTGGGGATTGGAGAGCTTCCGGGTGGGGAACCCGCAGAGGCGCTGGGGAGGTACCTGGGCAGAGAGGGCCTGAAGCTCTGTGCCCCTCCACAGACTTCGCTCTCCGAGTCTCCTCTGACTGTCCCTCAGTTAGATCCTTTTTAATACACCGGTGATCTAGGCCAGTGGTCGGCAAATCGTGGCTCTCGAGCCACAAGGGGCTCTTTGGCCCCTTGAGAGTGGCTCTTCCACAAAATACCACGGCCTGGGCGAGTCTATTTTGAAGAGGCGTTAGAAGAAGTTTAAGTCTAAAAAAATGTGGCTCTTAAAAGGAATTTTAGTCGTTGTACTGTTGGTATTTGCCTCTGTTGACTAATGAGTTTGCCGACCATTCTAGGCAGTAAACTGTGAGCTGGGGAGGAAAGGAAGACAGATTCTTGCATTCCATAACTACTTCAGGGACTGCAGGTTCCATCCCACTTCTAAAGACATCAGAATGCAAAAATATGTCTTCAGTGGGAGTAAGAAAAGAGGATCTTTCCCCATCGGACAGACGAGGAAACCGTGAGGTCAGGGCCAGAGGTGAGGCTTAGCTAACCAGGGAGATGCACCCATTGGGAAGAATGCTTTGCTGAGAAAGCTGGCTCATCCACACTTTGTCACCGAGGCCCTGGCTGAGCTCAGAGTCCGATGGTTAATCTGTGGCCTTCTGCCTGAACAGCCAGAAAGCATCCATTGGCAGAGCAAGCTGTGCTGCGTGGGAACTGGGTGTTCAGTGGAGGAAATACCCAAGAGAAGATTTGCTGAAGTTCAGGACCTGTTTTGTGGTGTGGGGCACCTTCCAGAACCTCTTTGGACCTCAGCTCCCTCACCCGAAGAGCCCAGAGGGTCTCAGAGGGTCACGTATGGGCTGCAAAAATCCCATCCGCACGGCTCCTGGTTCACAGCAGGCGAGCCATGAAGCTGCTGTTATTTTGAACGGTGCTATCATTGGGTTGCACCATGTGACCCCGAGGATTTTTTTTTTTTTTTTAGGTCAACAAGCTGTTGAATATCATTCCATTTCATAGGGCTCACCTTACTATTTGAAGCAAGAGCGCTGTCTGTGATTGGCAGGCAGGGAAGGGCGTATCCTCCCCATTTTGCAGAGGGAGAAACTGAGGCCTATAGAGTGGGAGTGATCAGGAAGCTGGGCCTGGAATCACCTGCCAGCCTCTCCCTCGGTACCCTTTCCAGACCCTCCAGGCACCAGGCTGCTGGTCACTGTGGGGTGTGACTGTTCGTGGTGAGGGCTCGTGTGGACAAACACAGACTGGTCTGGGCTTCTCCTTGGGGTTGACCCGGGCCTGGGAAATCCACTCTGGCTGTTTCCTGACACCCAGTTGTGCAATGAGAGATTGGAAATCCACTCTGGCTATTTGCTGCCTATGCGGGAGAGCTGCCTGCTTTCCCCAACCATGTACCTGTTCCTGCTGGGAACCGGCTGGCATTCCTTGGCCAGGTCACGGGAGGCCCTCCTGAGCTTGGCTCCCCTCACTCCCCTCATTTCCCTCTGGCCCTTCTTCCTGACTCTATTCCTCTCTCATGGCCTCAGAGCCACCACAGCTCAGGCCTCTTCCCTGTCCTCCCAGCTCAGCCAGCTGCCTCCTGGACAGCCCCGCTCCAGTGCCCGGCGCTGCCCAAACCCAACTTGGCCAACCCAAACCCTGCTCTCCTGGGCAGGCCTGGGCTTGTCCTATACCCAGCCAGCACCCCCAGCCTTCCTACACCCTCTGACCCTGTGGGCCGCTGACTGCTCCGCACATCTGCACGACACCTTTACTGTCAGTGCTGTTCCCTCTCCCCCCAACGCCCTTCCCCAGCAGGCTAACCTTGTTCATTTTCTCTCACCTCAGCATGGGTGATAACTTTATGTGTCATCTTAGTGGAGCCATGGGGTGCCCAGATATTTAAACTGCTTGGGGTGGGCATCATCCTTTCCTTGCCTTTGGACATGATTGGAAACAGCTTTGCTGTGACTCCACCAGGTGACTCCAGGCACTGCCCTGAGCCTGTTGCCTTCTCTGCACAATGCGGGGGAGGGCACCTGGGATGTGGGAGTCTCCACACCCTCTGGACCAGGAGTCCTGGGCTTCGGGGATGGGACTCTCGGAGCTCCCGGTGCTCACTGCCTGGGGGAGGGACCAGGGGAGGGAGGGACCCAGGAGAGGAGAGTAAAAAGACCCCCTGCAAGTAAACGGATGACCTGGAAACTTACAGCTAGGTGTTTTTTTTAAAAATATATTTTTATTGATTTCAGAGAGGAAGGGGGAGAGAGATGGAATCATCAATGATGAGAGATTCATTGATCGGCTGCCTCCTACATGCCCCCTATCGGAGATCGAGCCTGCAACCCTGGCACATGCCCTTGATTGGTATTGAACCCAGGACATATCATTCCGCAGGTTGACGCTCTATCTGCTGGGCCAAACCAGCTAGGGCAATAGCTAGTTTTAAAAACATAAAATCCCAGCTATGAACTCAACTGCTTGTGATTTGCCTTTCTCCTCAATAAGGACAGAAAAGTCCTGTTCTGTCCAAGGTCCCTGAGAAGGAGACACAAGCGAAGGAAGAAAACGCTGAACAGAGGGTCATGGGGTCCAACAGGGACAGGTCTGTCCCAGTGTTGTGACTGTACAGCATCGTGAAGGTACGGAATATCACTAATGGTGAGTTTTATGTTATGTGTGATTGGACTGGATTAAAAAGAAAAGAAGGAATTGCTCGTGTTAAACACAGCACACCCCCTCCTCCCTGTATGTTGCAGGGCGAATTGTGTCTCCCAAAAAGATACGTCGGAATCCTAACCACGTTCCCGGTGAATGTGGCCTCCCTGGGAAATCGAGTCTTTGCCGAAGGAATCCAGGTAAGACCTGCTGTCCTTCTACAAAGGTGTGACTAGAGAGGCTGTCTTGTGGCTGTGGGGCTGGAGATTGAGGTGCTGACATGCCTGGGGCCACCAGAAGCTGGACCAGGTAGGGAACGCCCCCTAGAGGCGGCAGAGGGGTGGGGGCCCTGCCAGGCCTTGCATTTCAAACTTCCCGCCTCCAGCCCTGGGAGAATGCATGCCTGCTGTTTGAAGCTACCGGGTTTGGGGGAGCATTACCCTCGCCCTAAGAAACTGAGCTCCCCCCTCTCAGCGCTAGCCCTCCTGCGAAGGTGCCATAGGTCTCGCCCTGCCCCCCCTCCAATGGGGGCAGCAGCAGAAGCAGAATGCCCACCCTCCCCCCACTTTCCAGCCCTCCCACACACCTTCCCCGGGCTTTTCAAAAAAGTACACAGCCACGGACCCGTCATTCCATTGCCTCAGTTTTAAATATTTATTTAAAATCCAGAAGGGAAAAGGAGAGACGGAACCCACGGGGGTTTTAACACTGACATGTGGACAGAGACATAAACGGGGACAGCAGAAAAAAAACCAAGGACGAGACAGGGGGGTCAGGCAGAGACTGGCATCGTGGGGAACCGAGCTGGGCGAGGCCCTGGCGGCTGCGGAATGCCCTTCCAGGAAGGCCTCCGGGCGGGGCCGGGGCCGGGGATACGGGATGGGACGGGATCAGTGGGGAGGGGGGGCCAGGGTGAGGTATTAAATAATGCGAATCAAATCCAATTCCCCAAGAGACACGACTTAGAGAAAGACAAATAGACTTCCACATAAAAATCTCCCCTTCTGTCACAATAACTCCTCAGTTAAAATAACCTCAGAATCCGCCCCGGGTGCTGGCAGGTCCGAGGATGTAGGGCGATTCGGGTGGCACTGAACACCTCTTATCACTGCGAGGTTCCCGCAGGGATTCCTTCTCCTCGGCCCACGTGTACCCGGGGAGCGGCTGGCTGTGTTTCTATGGGATTTAAGGACTAAAAAAGCAAGAGCGATGGCCGTGTCCTGAAAGGACAGGCTCCCGGGAGGGAGGGCCTTCGTGGGTGGCGCGTGGCTTCAGGAGATGGTGCCAATGCTTATCTTCCACCTCCAGGGCCAGCCCTGACCCTCCATGGCTCCGCTAACCGTTTCTTCAAGGCCAAGGCTTCTCCCAGGACCCGCCTGTCTAGATCGCTTTCTCCGAGGGCATCCTCGGCCCAACTCCCCTCCGGGACCGCGAAGGTTCGGGTCCGAATCCTTCATGCTCAGGCCTCCCCTGCTTAGGAGGACCAACGTTTCAAAGTCTGTAAGTTAAAAGGCAAATCTCACTACTTCCGTTTCTGGCAGGGTTGTGTTTTGTGTGTGTGTTTTTTTTCTTTTTTTGCTTTTTTTTTTTTTTTTTCCCTTTTTACTTCCCCCCTCCTTAGCAGATTACCAGGTGAGCACAAGGGGTGATGCTAGGAAAATTTAAAAGCTCCCCACACTTTGTCCTTCGGAGGAGAGAGAAACATGTGGCGGGGAGCCCACGTCAAAAACGTTTTCTTCAGAGTCTGTGGCAAAAATGGTAGCACCTTCAGAATCTTAAATAAGGTTGTTGCTTTTCCTTAAAAAAAAAAAAAAAAATCACATACGCCAAGAGACGATTGCGAGCACCAGCGATGATTCCACAGTGGGAGGTAGCAGACGTGGGCGCCCCTGCCTTGAGGGCCTCCTCGCCCTCGGCTTCCTTTGCTTCCCACCCCGGCTGCTCTCTCTCACCCTCTCACCTCTTTCCCAGGTGAAAAGAATAGTAACGCATCTCCTCTGTGTTTGCTTAAATAAAATATATATAGTTCTTTCCTTTTCTCCTTTTTTTTTCATGTCTCCTCTCTAATATTGCACATCGAAGCTCCCTGGCGGGGCCCAGCTGCCCCCTCCCCTCAAGCTGGCTGGACCTCGGGGCTCTTGCTTGGGCAGGAAGCTGGGGAGGAAGCTGTGGCCGCAGAGCCGGGAGACAGGCCACGGGGCTCAGGCGGGTGGCAGGCCCAGTTGGCTCAGGCTGGCTCTTTGGTTGGTCTTTGGAGCTGTGTTGGGGTCACCCGGCTACCTGCCCCCCCACCCAGCCATTTCTACTGGGCAGATGACACCTGGGGCCCATCCTAGAACCCTCGGGCAGGGGAGCTGCCTCTCCTGGGCCCACCTGCCCCTAAGTACCCTCCCTTTGCCTCCTCCTACTCCTCTTCCCTCCCCTCCAGGCCTAGAGGAGCCAGGAGGTCAGAGGTCAGAGGAAGCACGCAGGTCCAACTTCCAGGCGGTACTGCTTCCCTGATGAGGCAGGAGGGAGGTTGTCCACGCTGACGATGGGCAGCTGCTGGGGGTCCTGGGTTCGGAAGGTGAAGAGCGTCTGCTGCCAGCGGCCATCCTGGACCTGAGGGCAGAAGGAAAAGAGGACACTCACATCCCTCATGGGCCTCTTCGTGATTCCCCGGCATCTCGCCTCGCGGTTCCTGATGGCCACAAGGTACTTCCCCAGAGCACCCACCTGGACTGGTCCATTTAGATCACTTCTGCTACTTTTATTCTTTTTTTAAAAATATACATATTTTATTGATTTGTTACAGAGAGGAAGGGAGAGGGATAGTTAAAATCATTGGTGATAGAGAAACATCGACCAGCTGCCTCCTGCACACCCCCTGCTGGGGATGTGCCCGCAACTGAGGTACATGCCCTTGATGGGAATCAAACCTCTTAGTCTACAGGCCAACGCTCTATCCATTGAGCCAAATCAGTCAGGGCTACTTTTATTCTTGTGAGCAATGCTGTAATGACTTATCATGGTACTAAACTTTTGTGTACATTTGTAATTTCCACAGAACAAATTCTAGAAGCAGATTTGCTGAATTAAACGATAGGTACATTTTTAAGGCTTTGGATTTATATATCCCCCTATATAATAAAAGGCTAATAATACAAATTGACCAAAAGGCAGAACTACTAGTTGCTATAATGCGCATTGACCACCAGGGGGCAGATGCTCAAAGCAAGAGCAGGCTTCAGCTGTCAATTGGACATCGCCCAAGGGCTCCTGGCCTGCACCCTCTCACAGTCCAGGAGCCCCATAATCAATTGCCCAAAGAGGTAGGCCCCGCCCATCCGCCACAGCTCACTGTCTATGGCCTGGGCCTCCCTCTTTGGTGCGATTGTAGGCCCCCCTTCCCCCAATTGATTGCTCCGCTGGCCAGTGGCCTGGGCCTGCTTCTGTGAGGCAATCATGGGGTGATGGCCGGGCCCCAGACCAATCGAATCAAACCCACCTTGGCTGGCCTGGCGCCATTGGGTGTCATAGCATGGTCCACTGGACAGGTTGTTCTGCTGTTCAGCCATTTGATTGGTTTGCATATCATGCTTTTATTATTATTATTATTATAGATGTTAGGATGTGAGAAAACCAACACACCCATTACCAGTTTTGTTTAATCTTGTGACACTGGTTTATTTGTTTGACAACTTTATATCTCTCTCTTCCCTAACAACCTACTCTGTTTAAGGCATTTGAAAATAACCAAAAATGTTAAGAGAAAAAATTAGCCTGGTCAGGGTGGGGGCAGAGAGTAGAAGTATATCCTCCTGTAAGCAGCCTTGCAAATAAGTACCATATCTACCAGCCTGGATCTTCCCTCAGAAGGGTCTCAGAGAGGAAGGTGAATCACAGCAGTTTTATAAAGCTGCCACAATAAAATTACAAATGTCAAAATGATATGTAGCATGCTAATATAAAAACATGGTTTCCGCTGGTCTGTGTGTGAGGGGCCTGTGGGGGCTCCGGGTTACCTTACAGCCGTCCATGGACACTTCGGGCCTGAACTGACCCCCGGCTTCGAAAATCTGCCCGTTCCAGGCCCGGAAGCGAACTGCCCTCTTGGCTGGGGCCTGCCCGGGGCCCTCCTGCCACACAGTCATGTTCAGGCAGTGGATGGTGATATGCTGTGTCACCTCAGAGCTTAGCAGGTGCAGAAAATTCATCTGGACTCGGCTGACAGCAAACTCCACCTGTGGAGGAGACACAGCCGTGGGGTTGGAGCTGTGGGCAGGGGCGGGTCTGGCTGAGATGCCCACAGCTCTCAGAAGGTAACTCTCAGGGAGAAGCCCAACCATGCTCCCTGACGTGTGCTCACTAAAGAGAGAGGGAAATTGGGGTCTGTGTGAGCTGGTCCAGAGCCAGGGAGGGAAAAGGGAAGGGAAAGAGAGAGTCAGAGTGAGTCAGAGCTGTGAAGGGCCTGATGCAATCTTCCCCACGCCCCTCTCCATTGTAGGGGACGGGGGTCTTTGGATAAGGTGATCAGATGTCCCGCTTTTTAACAATTTGTCCCACAGCATTTTAAAACGCCGTGGGACACGGGACAAATTGTTAAAAATCGGGACTGTCCCGCCAAAAGCGGGACGTCTGGTCACCTTATCTTTGGAGCTGAGCTGGGACTTGGAGGCCCAGAGAGGAAGAGGATCTTGCCCAAGATAGAGAGGCTCTCAGAGTAAAGAGGAAATGAGCAGCGCCCTTCCTACCCTTTCTGTCTCCATATCCCCGAGGGGTGAGCTGTGGTAGAAACGCCAGACCTGACCACAGACAACGGGGCAGGATTTACGGCCTCAGTGGTTCTAGTGTGAGCTCTGACAGCTGGGCCTGCGTGTCTGTAATGCGAGCACCTGCCGTGTTCTGATCCCACGCACTTCAAAGGCGCCGTCTCTGATCAACCTGTGGCCAGTCACAGCCTGTGAGAGCCAGACCACCGGCCCCCCCCTCACCCCCCCCCTTCCACGGAGGCTCTCGGTTGCTTTCAATAACTGACCATTGGGGCCACCTGTCCTTCCTCTTCCTGTGCTTTGAATTCCCACTGTTACATTTTAAATTCTCCAATAGCGGGAGCCCCAGGGGAGCCACGTGGCTTCCAGTCTTGTAAGAAAGGGCATCTCGCATCGCCATAAAAACCTCGAGGGCTGGTCCAACCACAGCATCAGATATTGACAGATGGAGACCGGCACCCCACAAGGGTTCACTGTTCCCCATGGGGTGGAGACTCAGGGGGGCAATCACCCTGCCAGCCCAGGGGCCAACTCCAGCCTCCCTCCTCTGCCACCTCAGAGTCAGAGGGGAAAGGGCCTGTTGGACCCTGAGCTCCGTCTGTGGGGATAGTGGCGAGGCTGCTGGGTTTCGTGTGTTTCGTGTTGAACCCCAGCACCTGGCACACGGCAGGGACTCAACTACCATGTTTCCCCAAAAATAAGACATACCCCGAAAATAAGACCTAGCACATGGAAAGATAAGACATCCTCTGAAAATAAGACCTAGCGCAACTTTGGGAGAAAAAATTAATATAAGACACCGTCTTATTTTCAGGGAAACAGGGTAGTTGGGGGAGTGGTCACATGACCAGCGCCTGCCTGGGCTTATTGTTGAGTTGCCCTGAGCCACCTACAATTCTCGGCTCAGAGATGGGCACCTGGTGAGAGGGCAGTGAACGTTCATTTAATAGTTGCGTGCCCAATTCTGGCGGCTCGTCCCCGGGAACAGCACCCTGACTTGTTTTGTGCTGACGGCTCATAGTTCTCCAAGCCAGGCTGGCTTGGCCAACGCCACCGCTCTAGGTGGCAGGCAAAAAGTCCTACTTGAAGAGAAAACCATTGGCCTCAGACGAGTCAAAGGGGTTTGGATTTAAAACAATTCACCCTCAACTGACAGATGAAGAAACTGAGGTTCAGGAACAGGAGATGACTTCCCCAAAGCCAGGCAGTCAGACCAAAACTCGGCTGGGCTGTGGCCCAGGCAGGGTGGGGGCAGAGAGGGCCAGCCAAGGGGAGGGGGGGGGCGGGAGCAGTCAGGTACCTTGGAGGCCGTGATGGGCTTGAGACACGTCTGCCCACCGTGCGTGAAGTTGCAGGAGACTTCGATGGTGTCTGACGAGCAGCCAAGGTTCGGGTCCACCCAGTAGGTGCCTGCAGGAAGCAATGGGGCACTGGTGTCTGTGTGTGGGAAGGAGCCCCAGGGCGTGGTTCTGAGGTGGGTCCCCCACCTTGTGACTCCTCAGCTCCAGTTGGATATGAAGTCGGGGACGGGGGAGCAGGAAAGGGATTCGTGAGCCACAGGTCTCTGAGCAGAGCCCCTGGAGGGGCACAGAGCTGAGCACGAGAGCCGTGGCCATTGAGAAATGCCCACTTTCCATCGGGACACTGAGGCAGACAGGCTGAGCCGCTAGGGCTGATGTAGTGGAATGGTTTCCCCTCGGAGGCGAGTGATCCTCCTAGGCTGGCTGGGGGACCGCAGATGTCGAGTATTGAGAACTTGGAGCTGTGGAGGCTCAGACCTTGGGGCTGAGCCAGGACCTCAAGGGGCTGATGGCTCTCCACCCCCTCTGCACCAGCCTGCACCCCCTGTGCACCAGCCCCCACTCCCTCTGCTGGCACCTGGTTTCCCCACAGCTTCTGAGGGAGCCACAGGTGTTCGCAGCTGAATGGGACACCCACCCACTCTCTGCCTTCTCAGGCAGCGAATGGAAGGGTGCTCAGGGCGGGGTGGTGGCTGCCCGGCTCA